CTGAAGCTGGTCACTCTTTCTGATACAGTCCGGATCGAAAGATGACGATACTCTTGAAATGTATCGATACTTCTAAATATAGGATCGTATCGAACATCCTTACTGTTAACATAAATAACCCGAGGTACCGACGGAGCTATTTTGCGGCGTCATGGAAATAATTTTAAATTTTCATTTGCATTTTTTCAAGTGTTGTGCAACGATTTTGGGAAAAATTCCACGTATAGTCTTATAAAGCATAGTAGAGTATATTTCAACAGTTGGCCGAGCTTACTCCACTGGGACCAAGGGTTGACGGATCCCACACATGTGTCACTCGTTGGGGAGTTTTGAAATGTAATAATCAGCTTCAGCTGTTATTCAAATAATGTCTAATATGAATATAACCTAGAATGTGTACTCGGTGAAACAAGAAAGTTATTGCAAATTCTATTTTTTTGCAGGTTTTAAGTTTGCCGGTAGCTTTACGACATATATTTGAGTGTGGATGTTTGTTCAGTTCCTGAATAACCAAAAAATATTTGACTTGATGGATGTATGGATATGAAAAATCCTCAATGGTTTTGTGGGAATATCAATCGACGGTGCTATAATGGTACTGATGAACGGCATGTAAATGAAAGAATGTTTGGAAACGAGCAATATCTATGAAATTTTTGGTAGATCCTGTCATCAACTAGGTGCTTAATGGCTGTCTGCAAGAGGTTTATAGGAAAAGAACACACACAAGATGTTTTCAATCAGTAAAATCGCATATCAATTGAAGAAAGTAATATAAATATGAATAAACGACAATATTAAATAAAAACAGGATTTTTATTCAAAAATTGAACACTTTATTAAATTTTGACTAAACCATATGTAAATTCTTAATATTCAATACTTTGACAGTATTTTGTTTTCAACATTTCATAGCTATTAGTTGCTAAAATTTGTTGATTGGAACTTAAAGCTCATTCCCTGTATTTGAGGAACTGTTACCCTATAGGACTGTTTGACAATCCTGGTGAAATCCACCCTAAGTGTATTTTCTCGCAATGTCTTATCAAAATACAGTTGATTCATTTCTAAGGCCTGTATCGTCAGTCGTCCCTACAATTGTAGGGCGCCTTTATGGCCTCCTTTATTGTCATAGTTTTCTACTTCTCCGTGTCAGCGCTCTATTTTGAGGTTATGTCACAAACATCTATTTGCATCAAATTGTGCTTGCTTTTGAGTTATATCATGTTTTATCAGCCTGAAATTTCCTACAATTTAAAAAGAAAACATATATTTACAATAGGGGAGCGCTGACGCTGACACGGGACAAGTGTAATCTAGAAATATTTGAAGGAGAGAAAGAAGTATGACAATCAAGGAGGCCATAAACGCGCCCTACAATTTTAGGGACGACTGACGATACGGGCCTAATATTTTAATTCCTGTCAGACATCGAAACTTCATATTCTCTCTGCAAACTTGATTTCAATTTTTTGGATTCTATAGAATCTTTCCATTTTTGAATGAACCTTGTTCCTACATTATTTGAACTATAGAAGCACTTTCTAGGGAGAATTTTGATATCTCGATAGCTCACTTTTTAAGAAAATCATCACAGCATGTTCCTCAAAAGTATCACATACAATGATTGGGCGATAAGGGGCTATACGTATTTTTGAAGCACTGTCACGTGTCTTTCTTCGGAAAGCTCTTACCGGACCGCCAGTCTCATTTTGCTAAGATTTTTCTTGCATATGCTTCCGTTAATGTCTCACTGAATCATCTGATTTAAATGCAATATTTCTTTAAAGCACTTTTACAAATCAACGTCTCAATGAATTGTTATCTTTTTGACAGTATTGCACTTGAATATTTATAACTGCTTGTAAATGAGGCCCTATTCCATAAAAAGTATGGTGTAATAATTACAAGTCAATTTACTTGTAAGTTGTACTAATACTAGATATTGTGTTCTACACACGATATACTAGTACTACTTCATATTATACAAGTGGGACGTTTATGTTCCATAAAAGTACAGGTAATTCTAGTGTGGTAGAAAAAAAAAAGGTCAAACTTCTTGGTACAAAAAAGGGTCAGATGATAGTAACTCCCTCATAGAGAAGATCAAAAGATATTTGAAATGTGATGATTTTTTGGTAGTATTAACTTTAGTATAGAACTCGAATTCAACGGATGCTAACATAGGGGACTTAAAATACCAGCCAAGATCAACTACATCAAATATTCCTAACAATATACGATTTTTTTCTAATTAACCCGTTTTGAGGTCAAACATTTTTCGAGTAGTCCAATAATTATTCAGATACACGTCCTATGAAGTATTTTGCGATTCGGATTGTCTTATGAGTCAAATCACGTGTTCTTTTTCTTTGAATACTTCTGTATACATTATATCAACTTCCAGACTATCGTTCAGAGCACATATCAGTATACATGTTACCAATTACAGCACCTTATCTTATAGTCAGCGATACCATCTTTGAAAGATTCGGATTAATTATTTCTATGTTGTGGCAGGATTAATAAATGCAGTACTTTTAACTGTACGAATTTGGTTTCAGCACTACCAAAGAGATATCACTTTATATGTAACGTAGTGTTATTTAAATACATTCTCAAAGATTAAAATCCTTAGTACACTGCAATAATTATTGGATTATTCATAGATGTTTGCCTTTGAAAAATGAGTAAAACGAGCTTTAAAATATTAAAGAAGATACGTGAATAACCGTTGTACAACTTGGCGACCTTTTTCAAATATGGCGGACAAATGGCCACGATTTGGATCGTGTAACTTTCTTTCCATATCCCTATTGAAAAAAATTGTCCTTAATAATGCCCTGCATTTGAACTGAGGGCACAAGTTTACACGTGACCTCAGTGACTGATTATGTACTTTAAAGGATTGTACTTTAAAGGATTTGAAATGTTATTTCAACTGCGCAGTAAGATATGCCAAAACTGACTTTAGTATTTATGAATTTAATATTCCTAAATGTTCTTGTGTTTCTTTCTCTTAACATTATTTGAATACCTGCAAAAATCCATAACATCTGAAAACATATCTGAATAACTGCTGAATTATTCAAAGAATGATACAGCTTGACGACCATTTTTTAATGTGGAGGCCAAATATCACGATTTGGATCGAATATGTTTATATGCTCCTACAGTTGCCTATAATGCCCCGCATTCAAAATGGGGGCTCTGCTACTAGACACAGATCCTGCCACACGTTAATCCTAAGAGACAAACCCGTCACACTTCCATTACACATTTCAACTCTTAAGCACTCCGTTCATCCAGAACTGGTTGGTAAGGTTGATCCTAGTTTTTGCCAGCTTAGTGACCTTGAAAAGTTCAAGAATCGGATCGGTCAAATATCCATTACATAATTTTAGCAGATGCAGTTATCTCGATATTTAAGTTTAGTATAAAATCATAAGTCTCACAGAAAGGTCCTCTCTCTGATAATAGCCCAAATGGGACAAGTTTTGTCATCTAGCCGCAAGTTGACTGCGGACTGTCACAAAACACTGCATAAAGTATATTTCTTAGATTTATTCCCGCTCAAGCTCTCTGTAGTAGCAATTTGGTAGATGCTGCTTCCCAAGCACAAGGTCATTAGCAGCTATTCCAAAACTTTCTCACCTAAAACGGCATCTTTTTATTATTATTCTCCTATAAGAAATATATAATGTGGATTGGAATGTCCAGTTCGTACGACCCACCTTCCGAGGTCCGACCGTTGTTGCCTTGCTTGCAGTCCTCACTTGCTGCGTCACACGGTTTTCTATTGACTGCAAAATATACACATACGGAAAATAATTCCGCGCGCGCAGCGCCGGGTGCGGCGGAACGCCCAAGTACGATATAAAAACTTTAACGTGATGGGTACAAACCATCTATTTTTCACGTTTTCTTAACTCCCGCTCAAGCTCTCTGTAATAGCAATTTGGCAGATGCTGCTTGCCAAGCGCAAGGTCATTAGCAGCTGTTCCAAAACTTTCTCACCTAAAACGGCATCTTTTTTAATGATAGTTTAAAAATCGAGTCCTCCTATAAGCCGAAAAGTTATCTACTGCTTTCCTACTACGAGATCCATTTCTTAAACCATAAACCCATAAACACACTTTACAGTTCACCCCGACCACTTTATCTCGGCTTACGTGCATCACGTAACGCCACTCGCGTAGGTCAGACACAGCATATCGTCGGGTGGTACTGATCATTATTCTCCTATGAGAAATATATAATGTGGATTGGAATGTCCGAGGTCCGACCGTTGTTGCCTTGCTTGCGGTCCTCACTTGGTGTGTCGCACAGTTTTCTATCGACTGCAAAATATACACGTACGGCGGATTGCCCAAGTACGATATAAAAATTTTAACGTGTATGGGTAAAAACTGAGGAACATCTTTTTTCACGTTTTCTTAATAATTAAAGGTTGGGGAACACGATACATATGGTCTGACAAGACGAATGTTGGATCTTTTGATGTTGTGAAACAGTATTATAATACTTTGTTGTTGCAGTGTTGATATTCCTGATACAGTACATCCCTTATGCAGTTTAACCTCCTATCTCTAGTCTTCGTGGGACTAGTCCATCCTAGGGGAGTAAGTTGCAAATGTTGGTTGGTTATGTTTTCCTTCTGCTAACATTAAAAGTCGATTTCCAATATTATGCTGATTATTGAGGTAGTTAAGAAGGATAGCTACACATCTCAATCGCTTTCAAATATTTCAAAATATAAAATTCAGTTGCCAAACTGGTATAAAAAAATTAACGGAATACTATTTTGAATGTCATGTTTTACCAAGGTATTTTTAGTATCATTGTTTACTCAGAGAGATAACGAAGATTACTTGTTCAGTAGTGAAAGAAGCATTTCATTAAGTATTTAGATATGGCGGGGCGTTGCTATTCTGTAATCTGTGTTTAAATTCTAAAACTAATACTGCTTAATCATCTTAAATGGAATAAAAAATACTCACTTTTCTTTCTTCTTTTAAATCTTTAACCAAAGCAGTCAGTTCTTTTATCACATTTGCTTGCAAGTCCTCTGCTACTAATTCATGTTGACCGGCAAGGTCATTAACTTCATTCATTAAGGCTTTAAATGCCTTACAGGAAGTGAACCTGGAACGTTTCAGAAATTTTCTATAAGTAATGCTTTCTATTGCATAATTCGTGCATTATCTGGGAAAGGAGAATAGACAAACACATTTTCAACTTCCCAGTGAAACAAGAAAATCGATTTGGTTACAACTCGAGCAGGCATAGTCTATGAAACATACGAGTAACATTAGTAAGAGACATAAATATGATCAATTATCACAATACGAGTATTTGTACATAGTTATTATCACATCCTACTGACAGCTAGCTAACAACTTGAATAACAAACAATTGCAGGGTCCAATATGATTAATCATCAAGATAGAGGTTGAAGAAACGCGGCTTGAAATTACGAGAGCTAATTGCGCAGAATCAGTACGGTTCCTTGTAAATCTTGATTAAAGTTAACGATACTTCAAAGATCAGCAAAATATACAGGGTGTTTAAAATTCGGCCATCACCACTGGGATCTCTGAAACTGTAAGAAATACGAAGTCGCTTAAATGGGGACAAAGTTGCGTATTTAGGTTATAGTGATAAACACAGGATTTGTGACATGAAAATTTTTGGGCGTATCTTATGTATTTTGAGACCCCTAAATCAAATCTAAAAACAGAGTTTTTCTATCACCCACAGATATTCGGTAACGTCTACTTTTATGAATTACAATACGTAACATCTCATATTGCTGCATTTCTCGGCGTTTATGCGATGACGCACATATATAATGTTAAGACCTGACTACTTAGTAGCGTAATAGCAGCCGAGTCAGTTACGTTTTCTGTGTTGAAGAGTACTGAGATGTTTTGAGTTCCGTTAATTTTTGTTAAAACGGTGTGTTGTTTTTAGTTTATTGTGATCGAGCGGAGAGCTACCTAACTTTTAAAAACGTTTTTTTACTCCCCTTGCGTTGAAAGCATACGAATTTTATTTTGGAATTTGAGTTTTCGACCAAGATAAACTATGGGCCCCTCATATATATTGTAAGACTTGTGTAACGTTGTTAACAGGTTGGTTAAGAGGCGACAATCGTAAAATGCCCTTTGCGGTACCAATGGTTTGGAGAGAACCGAGAGCTCATTCTACTGATTGCTATTTTTGCTGACAAATGTTAAAGGTATTGGACCAAAATCGAAACATACTGTTAAGTGTTTTAATTTACCATCAGCTTTGCGGCCCGTTAAGCATAGTGATGAACTTTGTTTGGCTGAAAAAGTCGAATTCACCGATTCTGAAAGTGATGGTACAGAAAGCACAAAAATTTCCGATCCTTCGTTTGACCTGCCAGGATGTTCACCAGTGCCGCATTTGATCACACAGGGCGAACTTAATGACTTAGTTCGAGAATTAAATCTGTCAAAATCCCAGTCAGAACTTTTAGCGTCAAGATTAAAGGGATGGAATCTTCTCCACGGTGATGCTAATATTACGTTTTACCGAAAACGGCAACAAGACCTCACACACTGTTTTCGTCAAGAAAGGGAGTTGATATATTGCTGCGATGTCAACAATTTGTTTGACGCGTTAGGACAGAAACATGATCCAAATGATTGGCGCCTGTTCATTGATTACTCTAAGCTTAGTTTAAAAGCGGTATTGGTACACAACGGTCATAAATATGCAACTGTACCTATAGCGCACGTAGTTCATATAAATGAATCATATGAAAATATGCGAGTTCTGTTAGAGCATATCCGTTTTAATGAATATGGATGGGCCATATGTGCAGATTTAAAGGTAATAGCCCTTTTTCTTGGAATGGACTGGGATATACCAAATATTGTGTTTTCTTTGTGAATGGGACGGTCGTGAACGAGATCGTCATTATGAACAGAAGGAGTGGCCACTACATCAGGAATTAACTCCGGGCTTCAAAAACATTGCTCATGAACCACTAGTTGATCCCAAAAACGTGTTGCTTCCACCTTTGCATATTAAGTTGGGACTGATGAAAAATTTTGTGAAAGCTATAGATCGAAATGGAATAGGGTTTTTGCATTTAAAACAAACATTTCCGACACTTAGGCCCGTATCGTCAGTCGTCCCTACAATTGTAGGGCGCGTTTATGGCCTCCTTGATTGTCATACTCTTTTCTCTCCTTCAAAAATTTCTAGATTACACTTGTCCCGTGTCAGCGTCAGCGCTCTCTCTCCTATTGTGAAGATATGTTTTCTTTTTAAATTGTAGGAAATTTCAGGCTGATAAAACATGATACAACTCAAAAGCAAGCACAATTTGAAGCAAATAGATGTTTGTGACATAACCTCAAAATAGAGCGCTGACACGGAGAAGTAGAAAACTATGACAATCAAGGAGGCCATAAAGGCGCCCTACAATTGTAGGGACGATTGACGATACGGGCCTTAGTGAGGCAAAAATTAAAAAGGGCATATTTGTGGGTCCACAAATACGGAAAATCATGAAGGATGATGTATTTGTCAGTGCTCTAAATGAAACTGAATTACGAGCTTGGAATGTTTTTAAATCAGTTACTGCAAATTTTTTAGGCAATGTGAAGGCGGGCAATTATAAAGATGTTGTGACTGAACTAATTAATGCTTAGAAAGGAATGGGATGTAACATGTATCTCTCTCTAAAAATTCACTTTTTGGATTCTCATCTCGATTTTTTTTTTCCCGGAAAATTTAGGTGCGGTAGGTGATGAACATGGTGAATGGTTCCACCAAGACATTTCTGCTATGGAAAAACGGTATCAAGGCAAATGGAGTGTCAATTTGCTTGCTGATTATTGCTGGACATATCGCCGTAAAACATCGACAACACCATTCTGAGATTAATGTTTATTAGTACTTTTACACACCTATCCTTATATTTTATGAGTATAAGCAGCAAATAAAATGCCTTATTGCAAGAAAACCGTGGGTGATAGAAAAAAATCGAATGCTATTTCCGGATTTTTGGGTACGTTTTACATAATAACCACCTTGTTTTGTCCATGTCACAATAAAATATTTTAATTTTGTTCACCAGTGTAATCAACAAAGACAGAAAAACCAAATATTTCCAAAATAGTTTTACTTTTTTTCTGATTCTATTTCCAGTGGGATTTCAAATTAACTTGCACAATAACGTTGCCACTTTTTCTCATCTACAGGATGGTATAATTATGTCATATTATGTTTCATCTCTTGCCCTCCAGCATCAACTTTATATTTTCTTATGGATTTATATATATTTGATTTTTCCTCAGATGAATAAATTTTCTAATTTTGACTCCAAAAATGTATAATACGTCATACATTTACATTGCCAAATTTTAGGGTCGTATCGTCAATTGTTCCTCCTTGATTTTCATAGTATTTTCTCTCCTTCAGAAAGGCCGGGCTATTTCAACTATAAAGCACATGATAAAAATCAAGTTTCATCAGCCTGATTTTTTTTAAAATTAAAAAAGAAATCTAGAAATTCCCCTGCCTTTTTGGAGGTCAGGAAAAGAATGAGGCTATAAAGGCGTCCTACAATTACAGGACGCCTTTATGGCCTCCTTGATTTTCATAGACTTTTCTCTGCTTCAGAATGTTTTCTTTTTGAATTGCAGGAAATTTCAGGCTGATAAAATAGATGAAATAAATCAAAAGCATGAACGATTTGATGCAAATAGATATTTCAGACATAACCTCAAAATAGAGCGCTGAGACGGAACAGTAGAAAATTATGAAAATCAAGGCCATACAGGCGTCTTACAATTGTAGAAACGACTGACGATACTGCCCTTAGTTATTCCAGTAGAACAGAATTTTATAGGTAGACCTTGAAATTACCAGATTGTCATTTGTTTGAAAACTTTTGTTGGTTACCTAAATACGCAGCTTTGACCTCATTTAAGCGACTTCGTATCTCTTCGTATCGTCAGTCGTTCCTACAATTGTAGGACGCCTTTATGGTCCTCCTTGATTTACATAATATCATGTCTCCTTCAGTAAGGTACTTGTGTGTACTGCTTTAGATTTCTGGCATGCCGGCAGTTCTGACTAGTTATGTTGTTGTTTTGACGTTTAAGGAGTTTTAGACACATGAATTGAAGGCAGAAGCATAATTTATTATTTCCTTGCAAATAATGTTGATGAGTCAATAATACTTCGCTACACTGAACAAATTCCACAAGCTGTGGTATTTTCAAGAAATTGTTGGGTTAGGAAAATCCATATCTGTTATAACTGGTCTGAAAATGAACAATTTAATGCACATGGATATATATATATATATATATTTGTAGCTCCTGATGATGATGGCATAGTCCGTCGAAAGCTAGAGACTAATAAAGTATAAAGAGTCCTCATCACCTTAATCTTGTCGAAGTACCCAACTAAAGGCAAAAGCTTTATTTTTTTCACCTAACTGGTCTAGACGACAGTGACCACGTCTCAAGTTATATATATATATATATATTTCGTCCTAATTGTTATTTGTCGCTATTGTCAATAATTGTTTCCAGCTCCAGACGATGAAGACATAGATCTTCGAAAGCTCGAGTTTAAGTTATAAGAGTGTACTTTTGCAATACTTTGCCTTCTACTCAAAGAAAATCAAGGATATTTTCTCCTAACAGTTAGGCATTTAACCAGTTAGGTGAGAAAAAAGCTTCAGCCTTTAGTTGGGTACTTCGACAAGATTAAAGCGATGAGGACTCTTTATACTTTATTAGTCTCTAGCTTTTGATGAGCTATGCCATCATCTTCAGGAGCTACAATAACATTAGGAATAAATGGCAACTTCTGTGCAAAACGATTTTACATTACTTACAACAGTATGTGAGATTGTTGCTAAATTTTATTAAAGGTTAAGTTGAAGGAAACATTCAGTAGCCTAGTGAAAGCCATGGTACATTAGTTAAAAATGGTAAAAAACACACACAGCTCTAGTTTGAGCACTTACATATCTCTCCAAATTTTGATTCTTCACAACCAAATTTCCATTCCATTTAAGTTTTAATAATTAATGTTTTCCTATAACAAAATATTTTTTTATCTCATTAAGAATATAGTTTGTTCAACTGCCT